GTTGATACGAAGAGCCATTAAGAAAAAATAGAGGAAAAAATTTCAGCTGTAGCTTTTGAGTAAAATGTGCAAAAAAAAAAAAAAGTCGTTACTGACTAAAGCGCAAATCCTTGTTATTCTTTGAAAACTGTGAAACTTTTAGTTAGTCAGCCGGCTAAACAGAAAAGGTCGACAAAATCAGCAAAAACAAAACATCCATGCAATAATTTGTGGTGTTTATTTGCGTAAGCAGTGTTTGTTTAATTATTTTTTTAAATTAAATATCGCTATAATTATTAATCAGGAGTAATAATATTAACAGGAATAATAATATTATAAAGTAATAGAAATTGATAAAAGAAAAAATACTTTGTCAGAGTAAAGGTAACCTTGATTACATCTCAGATTATTAAGGAAAACGATCAGTTCAATTATGTAAATTTTTAAAAAAAAACTTAATAAGCTTGCACATTTTCCGGTACATCTGTGCACCTATACTTTGTCATAAATCAGTTAACAAGCCTTTCACTGGCAAATCACGGTAAAATTCGGGTAAAGTTTTTTCTCCTTACCTAGTTTTCTTATCGATTTTGGCTGTAAGAAAATGAAGATCTTTTTGCCGTTTAACAATGTAGGTCATCTTTGACCGAACTTAAAGGTTTTGATCTAAAATTCAGAGGCAGTGAAAACCGATCACTGATCTCGTTGTTGTAACGTTTCTTATTCATATGCCTTGCTAAGCCAGTAGACTGTTCTTAAAAGAACTTGAAATTTGGCACAACAATATTAGAACCTAGCTGTTGCTTAGGATGGTCTAGAGCTTAATTAATGCCTACCGGAAACCTATTACATTTACTGCTCTATTTCCCTACTTGATCCTCCCTCTCTCATCATCTTTTTTTTGCTTCTAACCCCAATTCTGTTGTTGCGTGAAAAAAATATAAAAGTGACTTTCTAAATAATAATAAATAATAATAATAATTTTAAAAAATGTGATTTAGTGTTTTTTGATATTTTATAGCGTTTAAGTTAAGCGCTATTAGGTTCCGTCAAAGGTAGTAGTATAAGGTGCTTTCTGATCTTCTTAAACGATGCTGATAAATACTTGGAAGTGTAAAAAACGTTTCAATTCAAGACTCAGAATACGAACGGTTTAACATTTACAGTTATTAAGCCTTCTAAGCGAACAGATTATTTATAAACAAGTTTTTTTGATTTTTTCTGGTGTCCAAAATTATTTTGCTTGTCAATTGGTGTACGATATTGTGGGTAGATTTTAAATGTTTGTAAACAGTTCAAAAAGAAGCGTGAGAAAATGAAAAAGCATCTGGATTAATCAAGTACAGTTAATTTAAAAAAAGGTGCAGCTATATAAAATTAGTATAATTTCTGAACCATCTTCGTCTTGATAGCTTTAAGCCGGAAGTTTCGCTGGTCCCTTATCACAATAATCATTGAAGTTTTGATCTCTTAGCTACCGAACAGAAAATTGTCAGGATTAGAAATACTCATAAGATATTAAGTAAGCAAGTAACACAAAAAATTTTATTGTAAAATAATATGCAGAATAATTCAAAAATTTCTCTCGGCGTGAACAACTAAAATAAACCTCTTTCATCTGAAATTGCTTAAATATGTTCTGCAAAAACTGCATCTGCAAGATCCACTGTATCAGCGAATGTTCATTTAAGGGCTGCCTACTAACGGTGAGACTTAAGGCGCATAAACAATCTGTTATGTTGACTAAAAGTAAGTTTAATTGTGTTAACCTTCTGACTCAGCAAGTGCCATTTCTAATCAAGTTAAGGCTAAAATAGCAGCAACTTATAATAATAAGTTCCAGATTTTGTCGTTGATTATGACAAGCTTCTGGAGTGTCGTTCTGCACAGCCTGTTAACACTCTTTGTTGATTCAACTAGCAGAGGCATACTTCACTGAGCACTAATTCGAAGAAGAATAAGTATTTTTTGTGGTAAAATAACGCAAGACATTTTATTTTTTAACAGCATTATTGGCTACCATAATGTTTCTCTATCTTTCAAATAATGTTGAGTTATTTATTTCATTATTAGAGATACTTAATTAAAACAACATTAAAGGAAGTCTGTGACTTTTACTGAAACCATACTGCATTACATCAGTCATGCACCTATTAAGAACAAAACAAATAATGATTAAGAATGACTCTTAAAGTCAAAAATTTTGCTCATTAATTCCCACTTGCCAGTTTTGCTGTATTCTAACTTCTTCCATTGCAATAACTTTTAAAAGCCAGCTACAGCACTGAATAAATTTTGAAAAAAAAGAGCCTATTTCTGTGCGGAACTCATACCAAATTGTTTCGACTGCATAATTTTCGTATCTTCCACCAACACTTATCGACTAAATT